TGATATGTGTAATAAACTCACACCGGAAGCTTTACAGGAGCAGAAGATGCAACAGGAAATGAGGGTTCTTGTCGCACCGTCTCATCATCATAAGAATCTGGATACACACGATTTAACTTGCAGGTTCTTTTGTTATGACCTGGATTATGGCATAAGCTACAATCTAATTTTGGTTGCTTCCTTTTCATTTTTTGTCTACTTGCTCCAACTTCATCAGGCTCTTTTTTGCGAAGCTTTTGTTTTCTTCCTTTGGTAGTTTGTCTTTCCAATCGTGGAGGCAAAGGAGGAATGTTATTCGACTTAGGCCACATCTCTTGACCATTCATAGGTAGAATAGAACATCCATAGATCATTCTATAAGTTTCTACCTTATAACAATCATCCACATATGAATTAATGTTATCATGTTTAGCCCAAATCGCGGCAATGGCATGCTTGCAAGGAATTCCTGTTAGATCCCATTTCCTGCAACTGCATTTTCTATTTAGCAAATCCACAGCCCACTTGTTCATTATGCTTGCTCCTATTATCTCTTAATTCCACTCATTTGATTTCCTGGGAATAAATTCAGCTGCTTTCGCTTGATTTTTGTGCAATACATCCTTAATCCTGGGGCAAATATCACCATCATTCCACTTGGTACCTTTATCCCTATTTGCTTGCATCCTTGTCATAAGGTGATACCTTAACTTCTCCAGTAAAGTGATAATCGGCTTATCTCTAGCCTCAATGATCATGCTATTAAAACATTCACACATATTATTGAGTAAGGTATCGCATTTCACAGTTTCAGGAAAGTGAGATTTAGACCATTCAGTAGGCGACTTCTTCTTGAGCCAATGAGCAGCTTCTGAATCTATATCAAAGATGTCAACCATGCAATCCTCAAACCACTTTACTGTTGTAGCCTTTGCAGCCTTCCAAAGGGCATTCCTGAGTGAGATACTACTGAATCCTGCCCTCTTGAAGTTGTTATGGAGGTGTCTCACACAGAATCGATGACTAACATATGGCAATACCTCATTGAACGCTTCAATCAAACCTTTTTGCTTGTCCGACATGAAGGTCCAAGTACCATCATCATCAATGTCTAAGTCAAGCTTCAAATAATTCAAAAACCATTCCCGCGATTCCTTTCTTTCCTTCTCTACAACTGCATATGCTATCGGAAAGATATTGTTATTCGGATCAAGCCCAACAGCAGTTAACAATTGAGTCCCATACATTGGACCCTTAAGCCAACAACCATCCACCCCAATTATTCTTCTACAACCGCTCTTAAACCCATCTTTACAACCACTAAAACAAATATAGATTCTTTGGAATCTCTTAGGCTTGTCGGGCACCTCATTTTCAACCAACTTCATATAGAAGATGTGATTGCTTTGTTACGGTGGTTCCAAATCTTACAATCATGAGTGGGATTGTATGTTCTGATCTGAAATGTTCTATCTCGATGCATTCTTGAAGCTAGAATCTCCCATTTGCAATCTGGATAACCATAAATTGCTCTCACTCTCGAGTTATCATTCTTGCACCACTTAATGTACTTCCCTTCATTAACTTCATGAGTTATTACAGCATATTTGAACTCATGCTTGTTTTCAAATGTCAATTCTAATGCCAACACTGGTTTATCCCCGTCTGTTTTAGGATTGAACATCGGAAAGTTGAAACTCTCACTGTCAGAGTCACATTCTAAACTCTTTGTATCATCCGAGTCAACGCAATCTGTATCACCTTCTTCAGCAGCCATTTTTTTCTTAACTTCTTCACTAACTTCATATATATGATTCACATTTTCATTATCATCTGAAAAATCATTTTCTGAGTCTTCAAATTCATCATCAGTCGAAGAATGCTCGCTATGTACTTTTTTCTCTTGTTCTGCTCCACTAACTTTATTAGTATGTATAGTTTTTCCAATATATGAATCAAGATGTTCAAAGTACACTTCAACCACCTTATGATCGGGAATATTTTTGGATATAACAGTGGCTTCTACATCAGTAGAAACAAGTCGCATTCTATTCCCGTACCTCCCGCACTTGTGCCAAAAAGTAACAGAATCTCTCTCATAACCACATAGTTCTGCCATAGATTTGAATTGCGACAGCTTCAACTCCGTATGGTTAACATAATCAATAAAATCTACACGACCCCCAAGATAATATCTGCTAGGCTGAAGCTTCATCGTACCACCATGTGTTACTTTTATACTGAAAAAAGAAGCCTCGTATGCAGGGTCTGCCAAAAAAAATTAAATTTATGTTAGACCTTTTTCTGGTGGACACATACAGAGTAATTTTATAAGAAGAAAAAGACACGTTAATATGGGTGGACCTAATTCGCCAACGATTAAAAAAGAGAGATAAAAGATTAGCATGTCAGAAACAACTTTTTTATTCCTTATTGTTTGTCTCTATTCCAATATTTTTTATTCGAAAAGCTACTGCATATCACTGCATTGCACGAAGAATAGGAGAGATTTAATCTACTAACTTTATTATAATACAATGAAGCTGTCATGTGTTATATAATAATCATTAAATAAACTAAAGAATGAGAAATTGAATCAACATACAGTAAAAAAATCAAAATTTCTTCAGTTTGATGAAAATCCAAATAGTATTTCTTGCTAAAATCTTACCATAATTGGGTATTTCACTACCATGACATCTAATAATCATTGCTGGAGATCAATAAATAAGCTTCTTCACTTTGAGTCCTTTTCTTGTTTCAGTCATCCAAGCTTTTTTGAGAGGCTAGGGTTTTTGGTAATGGATTTCTTTGTCGATGGAATTGAGGGAAAATTGCAAATGGAACTGGTGGGTTTAGCATTTTCCAAAGTCACGTGAGTGTCACATAGGTTAGCACCGTTAGTTTTTAACTTGATTCTGTTAGTAGACCAAAGGTGCTCTAGTTTAACAAAGTTAAAGGATTAAAGATGCTCTGGTTTATATTTTAAGGACAAAAAGGAACCTACTCCCATAGATAAGGGATAATTTTAGTCAAAAACTCATTCCCTACATTATTTTTAGACTCATTTTCACTTAGCAATATTTTTCTAGAAGCTACGTTGCCAATCTTTTCATTCTCATATCTTAAGAGACAAAAGTTTTCTTTTTTAATTTTCGTAAGAAATTCTTACATAAATTCTCTAAAATCATAATAAAGCATTGATGACTTTTTTTAAACATAATGTTTTACTTTATCTAACTAGCTAAGTAGGATCAATATTCGTTTTCAGGAACTTATATATTTTTTAATTTCTATTTTATAACTCAAACACATTGTTTATATGTTTTTTAAAAATTATGTTCTCATTAATATGAAATACACGCGCAAAGTGCGTACCATAAAACTACTATATATATATATATATATATATATATATATATATATATATATATATATATATATATATATTCCAAGGAATGCCAGCTTTATTTATTAAGTATTCAGAGCTCAAGAAACAGATTAAATTTCTGGCATATTTCACATCAATAAAGAAGAGAAAAAAGGGTATTAAACTAGATGCTTTATATATATGTTTCCTTTGAGTTGCGTGTAAAGTCAAAATCTCATTACATCCTCATTTACCCCATATATGTAGTAAAGATAGCTTCTCTATCTTCACAAGGTAAGGATAATATCTGTATACACACTATCCTCCTCCGTAAAAGCGGACCCAGTCGGAGGTGCACTTTTGAATTCAACCAAAGAATGCTTTGTATATGGGTGCCAACTAATAATATATTACTATTTTCCAAAGACATATACATGTATACATAAAAATTTTACTGAACTTTACGGATTTTGGTGAACCCTCTCGGTAGAGCATACCTCCGGCTCTGCTCCCCAGACCCCATGATATGGGATAATACTGGGTATGTTGTATGTAGTAAAGGCAGCGAGGTGCACCCAAAGGTGGACCTAATTGTACCATTGAGGGGTCATCAGACCCGTAAACTTTGGCAGAAAATTATATATGTATGTGTGTATATTTTAAAAAATAATTATATAAAGAAACTTGGCACCCTGAATACTAAAAGTCTTTAAGTGGCACCAATAAAAAAAATAATGGTGCTCCTTCGCTTAAAAATCTTGGGTCCGCCTTTAGATGCCCGAAATATACCGTGTTCTCGCAGGATCAGAGAAGGACCGCACCTTAAAGGAATGTTATATAGCAACCTAGCCTAATGTAAGCATTAGTAGCTAATTTTACGGATCTGATCTATGAATTTAGGTACTCCAACGCTTTCCTTCTTTCCCCATATATGTAGTAACCTTTTCAAATAACTTTTTTTTTTCTGTTCCAAATCTTATAATTTTCTGCGTCATGAGGGTATAAAGGGTGGTCCATCTTAGATAATTTCATAACAGTGTCACATGACTTAGTTTGATAAGCAACTCAACATATCTATATATGGCTTTGGGCCAATCTTTTTATTTCAAACACGTGCCATGGGTTTAACTCAGTGTCAAAAGCAAAAGATTAATTATGAGTTCATTCGAATTCATCAACTTGACTCAGATGCACATATGTTAAAAAATTTACTAAATAATTACACGCAATTGATTTGGAATCATAAAGTTCCAAATCAACCTGTCTTCTGGTCCTTTAATTGCTGCTTAATAAATAAATAAAAAGCTAATTCTAAAGCATATGCTAATAATATACCCCCTTAAAATTCCAAGGGATGCCTTTGATTAATATTCCAAAGTACTCAAGAAACACATTTCAAAGTTGTACGATATTTCATATCAACAAAAGAAGAAAAAAATGACACTAAATAAACCAGATGCTTTAATACAAACTTCCATCAAATTGCATATTATAAGGTCAAAATTGTTTCAAGATCCATATCTATAATGCATAAAGTAAAAAAGATGCTTAAAAAACATTTCTTTCAGTACTGATTCCAGACACCAAATATGCTGTTAACATAAATATTCATATAAGATAAGCAACAAACTTTATACATATGCTCTTTTATAAACAAAACTCTAAAAAGCACAAGGGTTCCTTATTGATTGCTTAACTTTTTATTTCATTTGCATATATAGGAAGAACTCATTATCCGCATATATGTACAGTCTCAGATTCTTGATTTTCCACTACAAGGCAAAATCAAGAACTAAAAAGTAAAAAGGTAAGTTTTAGACCTCAAATGACAAAGGTCCCAAGTGTATGTACAACACAGCAGGGGCGGTTTTAGGGGAGCGGAAGGGGGTTCATAATCCCTTTTATCTGAAAATTATATTGTACATATAAGACAATTCGTATTGTGTCTCTATATATTATATTTTGAATCATCTTGTCATAGTCCAAAAGCATAGCTCAAATGATCAAGGGAGTCCAAAATCTTTATGAGGTTGTTGGTTCAATTCTTACTATCAGCCGTTGATCTGGTTTCTCCGCCATTAATGATCCATGGATGCCCTGCATTTTTACAAATAAAATTCAAGATCAGATGTAAACTACGAAAATGACAAGGTAAAGGGAATGCTAAAGAAAAAGCTAAAGGATTTAACTTATATACAATGTAGTCTAAAACACTGTACAACCCTTAGTTTTATGGATTGTTATTTTTTAAAGGGAGAAAGTGTCATATATACCTCTGAACTATGTAAAATGATCTTAATATACCTTATGTTAATAATTTGGTTCAATCATGTCACTGCCATTACAAAGGGGCGGAGCTAGTTTATTATATGCGGGTCCGGATGAACCCAATAACTTTTGCTTAGATTCTATAATTGTACCAAAATTTATTTTATATATATATTATATATATATATATATATATTAAATATTTAATTGCGAACCCGATAACCAAGACGAGCTATGGGTTCGATGACGAATTCAAAATTCATAAACTTTAAATACTGACTCCGCCTCTGCCGTTACACCAGAAAAATAAATCACACCTTTTTGCTAAGACTTTTGTATAAAAAGGAAAACAAAAAAGAATCCATTAAAATAATTTTGAGTGAGAAAAACAACTTACTTAGAACTTGCTCCGCAGAAAATCTTCTAGAAACATCTTTACATATCATCTTTCTCAGCAAATCCTTGAGTTCAGTTGAAACTGACCCAAAAATCCTAGTTGGAAACCTCAAATTTCCCCTTAGAACTGCTTCAAAAATTTCTTTTGTAGTGTCACCACAGAAAGGTGCAACCCCAGAAAGCATAATGTACAACATAACACCAGCACTCCATATATCCACTTTCTCATTATATTCTCTGCCTAATAAAACTTCTGGGGCAACATAGTACGGTGTCCCTACCAACCCTTTCATCATCTTTCTCTCCTTCCCCATAAACCATTCTGCATATCCAAAATCAGCTAGCTTCAAATTGTCCTGTTTTAGTAACAAAAGCAATAAAATTAGTTAATACAATTAAAGAATTCATGTCCGGAAATTAAGAATGAGATAAAATAAGAAGGAAGTAGTAACAATATAACAACAATTAAAGAATTCATGTTCTAAATTTTTGTCTATTGACATATATTTCTGAATAGAATAAAATAAACAGTCAGGGGCGGACCTATATGTTAAAATAAGGGATCATCGGACCCCATAAGCTGCTAGGGGTCATCGGACCCTACCAACTTATTGCCAATATTTTAAGCCTATCAAGTCTAATACTATATAATAAATTAATCTTTCTAGCACTAAGATTTTTCTATCTTTTTTATGAGCGTATATATTTCTAACCAGACAAAAAGATTTATAATAAACTGTAGACGCCAAATAAACTTTTGCTTAAACATTGTATCTATATAGGAAATTCATTAAATATGTATAAATATTTAATTGCGAACCCACTAAGTCAGCCGAGCTATTGATTCTGTAGCAAATTTAGAACCCATAAACTTTAAATTTTGGCTCTGCCTCTAAACCTACTAACATAACTAAATCTTGATACCAACTAATTTGTAGAGGTCTGTGTGTACTAGTAAAAGGGCAGCCAAGTGCATATTTACGCAGGATAGGAGGAAGACAGTCTACCCTAAGACAAGCACCAGTTATTGCTTCAACGGCTTGAACCCGTAAACTATATTATAGGTCACACAGAGACAACTACTAGGCTCTCCTTCCTACGTATACTAGTTGAAAACACACAAAGATTAAAAATAAAAGAAATCAGGAATTAAAAAGAAAAGTGATTGTAACGTAAGAATTAAAAAAATTAAAACAAGGAAACATGTTTTACCTGGGAATCAAACAAGATGTTATCTGGTTTTATATCACGATGTGCCACTCCCATTTTATGACAACAATTAATCGCTGAAACCAATTGCCTTAAAATAACAGCAGCAGCTTTCTCAGAAAATAATCCATTAGATAACCTATCGTAAAGATCATCGCTAGAGCAGAGTTCTGTTACTATATGAAGATAATTATCATCTTCATAAACTTTATATATTTGAAGAATATTAGAATTTCCACTAAGAAGTTGCAGAATTTTGTGCTCTTTGTTTAGACACTCACGGTCTGTGGAATCAAGAAGAAGGCTTTTTTTAATGGTTTTACAGGCAAAAGATTGACCAGTTAATTTGGATGTACAACGGTAGATTGTACCGAATTTACCACGGCCAATTTCTTCACTAATTTCGAAATCAGTTTTTAAGGTTTCAAACATGTTTTTTTTGTAATGGAAGTTGATATGAGGAATTTTTGTAGGTTTTGTTTTGGATTTTGGTTAGAAGATTTGTAATGTATATTTATAATAAGAGAAAGAAGCAGAAAATAAGAAAACCGAAGTAGAATAGAATTAGGACAATATTCGCAGGTAGGGTAGGGTGTACTTGAGATTCATGTCTGTCTAACATTTTTTATATTTGAGCATAATTTAATATTAATAATTATTTTATCTGTTTAGTAATAGTATATTTTTATACCACAAAAATATTTTATGAACAAGTTTAACACTATATACTTTAGTATTCTTTCAAATTCAGGTTTTAGTCAAATTTCATAACCCAAACACTACTAAAAAACGAGAATTAGTGAAGGATAAATTTTTGTGGCTAAACAAAAAAATATGATAATCTTATTTAGCAACAAATTAGGGTATAATTTTCAAATTGTTATAAATGAGGAAAATTAGGGTAGAATAACAACTAGTCCGTAAAATTAGTCAATTTATTATTTGATCATTAATTCTTATTGTATAGCTAGTAACTTTGAGCCTTTTCCGTTTTTATTATAGCAACTCGATAATCTTCCTTATTAATTGGTAGGTGGTAAAACAGGAAGGATAAAACTTTTAGATGTTGCAAAATGGCAAAAAGAGTGAATTCCATTTTACCCCCTTAACCTTTTAGGGTAGGGAAATAATACCCCCTTCACCTATTGAATGGGAAAGAGAACCCCCTTTGATGCAAAAGTTTACCAGAAAAATAAAAAATTTGAATTCCAACAACAATTGGGTTAATGCCGGTGCCTGTAATTGGGATGGTGGCCAAGTGAACCAAGAACACTGCAAATCCAATTGGAGAGGTGCCAAAATCTGTAAAACGCAACCATGAGTTAGAATACACACACACATTAAATAGCTCAACAGTAAAATCTAAATTACAAATGAGAAGTCAAGTAAGTACTCACAGGGACATGGGTGTCTCTTGCATTTCTTTTGGCATCAGTAGCAGAGAAAACTGTATAGACAAGAACAAAAGTGCCAACAATCCCAGCACCAAGGCCATCTCCTTTGGTGTAACCATGATTCACAACATTGGCACCTCCACCCTTAACCTGATACAAAGATGGCTGGAACCCTTTGACAACACCAGCACCACAGATTGCACCAAGGCATTGCATCACAATGTAGAAAACTGCCCTGGTTAGAGACAATTTCCTTGCCAGAAACATACCAAATGTCACAGCAGGGTTAATGTGTCCACCTGATCAAATCCAAGAGTATCTCAATGTCAGAGCACAAAGAACAAAATATAAAGAATTTAAGTTATATACTGTAAAGATTTCTAACACAATCAGTGTAGTTTTTCATGGGAAAGTAGGTCAAATACCATTTTTACCATACAACAACAAACTCAGTGAAATCCTACACGTGGGATCGGGTAATGGTAATGTGTAGACAGACCTTACCCCAACCTTGTGAAGGAAGAGAGATGTTGTTTCCCCTAGACCCACGGCTCAAGAACAGTGAAAAGGACACAATAAGCAAATGGTAACAATGGCAAGGAAATAAGATAACATAAACAAATAACACAGCATGTAGTCGCAAAGAATCTAGGAATACAAAGGAGAAGTGCGAAAATTGTAGAGATTTACTACCTTATAAGTAACAAGATTTTGTAAATATTTTTACACATCATAGCACTGAAACACATTCTAAAAACTATTTCCGCTGAGGATCTGACATCTTTCAATAATATACTGCTAGAAGTTTAATCCAGTTCTAGCAGGAAATGCTATTAGTATAGCTAAGGAAATCCCATAACAACATTGCAATATAAAAGATAACCACTAAAAAAGCTATTCTGCTCCAAATTGTCCAAAAGGAAACTGTTACAATTTTGATGTATTATGGAAATTCAGAGAACTACTTCATAAGAAGCTCAGTAACTGTCAAAGGGGGTTCTCTTTTCCATTCAAAAGGTGAAGGGGGTATTATTTTCCTACACTAAAAGGTTAAGGGGGTAAAATGAAATTCACTCTGGCAAAAATTCTTGGGAGATAATACAATATATGATTCCTACAATCAACTTTTTTGATTGATGCGAGAAAAAGAAAAAATTTCACTCCACCAACTTATGTTTAGTGGTGAAAAGAAAAATTATGTTAAGTTATGTTTGAATTACATTTATGTTCAATAAAAAAAACTAGATTTGCAAATAATTTCTGAAAATAAGTATAATCGGAGTAGTTTTTGTAAAAGATAATTCTCAGAGAACATTTATGTTAATTTCTAAATAAAGATTACCTTTTTTGTTCCTTTTCTTGTTTTTTAATTTCCAAAAATATTTTTGTTGTAGAAAAGTTTTGCTACTTTAACATAAGAATTTTAAATTTAATTTTCTATCTCTCGTTAATAGGAGTATGTTTTAAGGGTTAAAAGGAACGTAAGGTATGTGAAATTGTAGACCTTTGGTGGAATGAAATTTTTTATTCATCTCCAAACAAAAACAACAAAGGTAATACAATGAGGAACAAAACAGTGAAATAGCTACCTCTAGCTTTTATCTATATATAATTCTGTACATGTGTATTCTATCCCCTATCTGTTTATCTATATATATCTTCTATCCATCCTCTATCCTTTCCTTTTTTTCGCTTGTTGAGCATTTCCGCCATTCGAACTTTACTTTCTTCTTTGATTTGCTCACATACTCTTTGTGGTCTAGGGACTGAATTGTTCCATAAGGCTTCATTCCTCCCTTTCCACACATTATAGGTAGTCGCAGCCAAAGCTGCAAATGCAAATTCTCTGCTTAGCTTTCCTCCCATTTTCCTTTCTACTTTTCTCCATAGGTGCTGCCCTTCAGTGTTTGTAATATTAACTTTTAACCACCGTAGAAATTGTAGTTATGCATCTTCTTGAGAATTAGCATTCATAGAATACATGTTCAACTGTTTCTATTGAGTCACCACATAGAACACACATGCCATCTGTGTTGATACCTCTGCGAGCCAGTCTGTCCTTTGTGAGCAGCTTCTTCTGCATCGACAACCAGCATATAAAGCTATGTTTTGGAATGTTTTGTTTACTCCAAACCCATCTTCCCCATTGGCAATTGTCCAGAGTCCCCTTCAACCATGCATATCCTTTTTGGATTGAGTATTTCCCTGTAGCTGACTGCCATCCTCCTTGCACATAGCCTCCTGCCAATTTATCTCTAATATGGCAGATTTTCCTCCAGTACCAGCTACTATCCACTGCTACCTTGTATTGCCACCAATCTACATTTTTAAGGTAGATATGGTTGATCAATTTAACCCATAGTGTGTCAGTTTTGTGTGTTATGTCCTAAACATATTTTTCAATAGCTGCCTCATTCCATACTACACAATCCTTTATACCTATTCCTCCTTCTTGTTTTGGTCTGCACACAAGGTCCCATGCTACTAATGGAACTCTGTTTGTTTCCCCCTTTCCATCCCATAGGTAGTTACGACACAGTGCTGTGATACTCTTTAGAACTACTTTTGGAAGAATGAATATAGAAGCCCAGTATGTGTGAATATGCATTAACACTGCGTTTATCATTTGTACTCGACCTGCATATGATAAGTTTCTTGAACCCCAGCTACTTATTCTGGTTGCCAGCTTATCTACCAATACTTGACAATCCATTTTGGACAGCTTCTTAGATGATATTGGGACCCCTAAGTATTTGAATGGGAGCTTGCCTTTACTATACCATGTTATTTCACATAAGTCTTCTATCTCCTGTGCCTTCATGTTTGCAGTAAATATATTGGACTTTCCTGCATTTGTTGTTAGTCCTGAAGCATTAGAAAATGTCTTGAGCCCTCTCAACATTAGCATCACAGACTGGAACTCCCCTTTGCAAAATAGGAGTACATCATCTGCAAAGCACATGTGGTTCAACTGTAGACTTCTGCATTTAGTATGAAATCTGAATCCTTCCTATTGTGCTACAAGCCTCAATATCCTTGAGAGATATTCCATACATATTACAAACAGTAGTGGAGATATGGGGTCTCCTTGCCTCAGACCTCCCTTCCCTTTGATGTTCCCATATAGTCCTCCATTTATAGCCACTGTGTATTGGGGAGTTGAAATGCATTCCATGATCCATCTTATGAATTTCATAGGAAAATTGAGTGCATGTAACATTTCTTCCACAAACTCCCATTCTATGGAATCATATGCTTTCTTTAGATCTATTTTAATTAGACAACTCTTTGTTGCAGCTTTCCTGTTATAAAGCCTTACCAAGTCTTGGCAAATTAAGATATTCTGCATAATTGTTTTCCCTGCTACAAAGGCACTTTGATTTTCTGAAATAATGTCTGGCAATATGAGCTTTAACCTGTTGCATAACATTTTAGATATGACTTTGTACACTGTGTTGCAGCAAGCAATGGGTCTATAGTCCCCAACTGTCTCAGCATGGTTACTTTTGGGAATCACTGTTATTACTGTGTTGTTGATTGCTTTCAGCATCTTCCCTGATGTGAAGGATTCTAGCACTGCCTCCTTAAGATCTTCACCTGTTATATCCCAGCTATCTTTGAAAAATTTGCTTCCATATCCATCAGGACCAGGTGCTTTTTCTCCATAAATTTGCCATAGTGCTTGTTTAACTTCCTTTTCTGTGAACTCTTCTGTCAGTAACTGTCTTTGCTCCTCAGTTACTATTTGGCCTTCTCTCATCAACCTGCTGCATACATGGGCTCTGCTATCTGTAGTAGATCCCAGTAATTTTGAGTAAAAATCCACAAATTCTTCTGCTATTCCATCCATGTTAGTTATCATGTTACCCATTGAGTCCTTGATTGAGAGGATTCTATTAGCATTTCTTCTTGCCTTCATGTAGCTGTGGAAATATTTGTTGTTCTGGTCTCCTTATTTCAGCCATTGTATTTTACTTTTCTGTCTAAGAAACTATTCACTTGCTTCCTTGAGCATTCTATAGCTGTTTACCAATTCCTGCTCCCTGTCAATGAGTCCAGTATTTGTAGGG